TATATATATATATATATAAACTAAAAAACATTTGAGGCTTCAGCTCCAAATGTTTGGGTCTAACATACTGTGTTAAATATTTATTAAAAAACTGTCTAAAATCTGGATTTCTGAGACACACACCCGTCTATAGAAGGTCCCACAGCTGACAGTGCATGCCAGAGCACAAACACCGAGCATGAAGTCAAAGGAACTGTCTGTAGAGCTCTGAGACAGGATTGTGTTGAGGCGCAGATCTGGGGAAGGATGCAGAACATTTTCTGCTGCTTTGAAGGTCCCAATGAGCCTTCATCATTTGGAAATGGAAGAAGCTTGGAACCACCAGGACTCTTGTAGAGCCGGCCATCTAAACTGAGTGATTTGGGAGAAGGGCCTTAGTCAGGGAGGTGACCAAGAACCAGATGGTGACTCTGTTAGAGCTCCAGTGTTCCTCTGCGGCGAGGAGAACCTTCCAGAAAGATAGCCATCTCTGCATCAATCCACCAATCAGGCCTGTATGGTAGAGTGACGAGAGGAAAGAAACATGGCAGCTCGTCTGGAGTTTGACAAAAGGACTGAAGGACTCTCAGACCAGGAGAAACTAAATTCTCTGGTCTGATGAGACAAAGATTGAACTCTTTGGTGTGAATGCCAGGCGTCATGTTAGGAGGAAACAAGGCCAATACCATCCCTACAGAGAAGCATGGTTGTGGCAGCATCATGCTGTGGGGATGTTTTTCAGCAGCAGCAACTGGCAGACCAGTCAGACTGGAGGAAAAGATGAATGCAACGATGTACATCCTGGATGAAAACCTGCTCCTGAGAGCTCTTGACTTCATAACTGGGGCGACGGTTCATTTTTTAGCAGGACAACGACCCAAAGCACATGACCAAGATCTCAAAGGAGCTGCTGCAGGACCACTCTGTGAAGGTCCTGGAGGGGCCAAGCCAGAGTCCACATTTGAATCTGATTGAACATCTCTGGAGATATCTGAAAATGGCTGCACAGACGTCTCCCATCCAGCCTGATGGAGCTTGAGAAGTACTGCAAAGAAGAATGGGACAAACTGGTGCTAATGTTGAAGCATCATCTTCAAAAAGACTGGAGGCTGTAACTGCTGCCAAAGGTGGATCAATAAAGTTTTAAGCAAAGGCTGTAAATAATTACATAAATGTGATTTCTTAGTTTTCTATTTTTAATAAATTTGCTGCATTCCAGGAACATCCCATAAAACCAGTTGTTGTGAAAATGCTCATCCAGCTCTTTAGGTCCAAGCCAAAGCTGCTCAGATCTTTGTGCTCCACGTTTCCAGCTCACCACACAAACTATTTCAAGAGCTGACTGTTGCCAAGTATAGCTCACCCCTTGACCAGTGCCTTGTAATGAGATAATCAGAGATAATCACTTTATCAGTCGGTGGCTTCAAGGTGTTGTGACTGCTTGGTGAGCTCTTTGTTTGTGTGAGTTGCTCTGAGAACGTTGAAATGTTTCTGCTCACCGTAAGGTTTCTGCCGAGAAAGGCCTGGAGGAAGCCGCTCTTTCCGCTGCCCACGTCTCCAAAGACGTTGCAGCGAAACACGTTACGCTGCGTCTGTTTCTTCTGCAGGTCGATCTTCTTTTCTCTGGTGACTGAAGGGGGGAACCACACACACATACATGAACACACACACACACAGAGGATCGGTAAAGACTGTTGTTGGACACTGCAGACAGTAACAGCAGCAACATTCTGACTTAATTGTAAAACTGCTGAAGTAAAAAAAAAAACTGATCGCAGAGCAGACGAGTAAAAGTATCAATAAAAAGTAAAACAAAGACAGATTTTAAACTGAACAACACTCAATGTTCCAGCGTTTTGTGTAGAATGACATATATAAACAACACGATTCTGAGTAATACAGATAAAATTTATATACATTAGTTTGGAATGATCATGAGATTAAATCTAACTTCTACAAGAATCTACACCTTAAACGTAAACTCACTTCCTCTTCATATATTTTATGAAAAACAGGATGAAATAAAATCTGTACCTGTAATCCCTGCTGCTTGAGACTCCTGCTCAGCAATTATTGAGTAACCGAGGTATCCTAAATACTCCAGGCACCGCTGAACATCAAGATAAGTCGTTAACCTGGAAAATTACAAAGTAAATAATCTTTTTAAAAGTTCTGCTCTCTGTGAAAGCTGCTTCTTGAGGAACGTTTACCCATATCAACTAAGAGAACTTTACTTTATTTTTTTTTTCCCCCTCAAGATTTAGATTTCTCAAGGAATGCAGCAAACTAAATAAGTGAAATGTATCAACAGTTTCCCAGTAACTATTTTTAACACATTTTAGCCAAGGTTATGGACAGACCAACCCTGAGGTCCCCCAACTCTGCTTCCTCTATAGAAGACGTGTCGGTGGGATTGAGAAGGTCCGAGAAGTATTCCTTCCACCTCCACTGAATGAGGTCAACAGCACTCCACCTTCACTGAACAGTGTTAGTAAAGAGCTGGTTTCCACTCCTCAGCTGCCTGATGGTTTGCCAGAATCTCCTCGGAGCCGACCGAGAGCCTCAATCCAAGGCCTCACCGAACTCCAACAACTTGAGCCTCAGCCACAGACCGCTTGGATCTCCAATACTCCTCAGCTGCCTCCAGAGTCCCACCAGCCAACAAGGTCTGACAGGACTCCTTCAGCTTAGCAGCCTCCCTAACCTGGGGTGTCCACCACTGAGTTCATGGATGGCCACTGCGAAAAGCACCGACAACCTTGCGGCCACAGCTCACGGCAGCTACCTCAACAATAACAGAGGCAGATGGTTGTGGAGCATTAAGTGTAGAACTACTAGACTGAGGAACAGCTTCTACCCTGAAGCTGTTAGACTCATGAATATCTAACCAGGATAATCATTGTAAGAAAAAAAAGAAAAAAAAAATCACAGTAATGCCACTTTAGTGACTTATCTGCGCTGCTGATCTCGTGCTGTTGATTATCTCATGCTGCTGTATTCATTCATACCCATCTGCTCATCAAAGACTCATGTTCGTGTTGCTATTGTTTACGCCGGATTGTTTTACATTATTAGTGTTTAGCGTATATCTTAGATCCTTATTTTACTGTTTCATTTTATAAGTTTTATTTTGCTATTTTTATGTGTAACTGGGACACTGTGTACATAATTTTGTTTAATGTACCACACGTGGTGGAAACGATAAAAGTAGACTTGAACTTGAATTGAGGCGCGGAACATGGCCCGCTTGGACTCGATGTCCCCTGCCTCAGCTGGGATGTGGTTAAAGTTCTCCCAGAGGTGTGAGCTGAAGATCTTTCTGACGGGTTCTTCTGCCATGCCCAGCAACCCCTCACGATGCGTTTGGGTCTACCGGGTCTGTCCAGCATCTTCCCCCACCATCTGATCCAATTCACTACCAGGTGGTGATCAGTTGACAGCTCAGCTCCTCTCTTCACCCGAGTGTCCAAAACAAATGACATCAAATCAGATGACACAACTACAAAGTCAATCACTGATCTACAACCTAGGACGTCCTGGTGCCAAGTGCACTTATGGACACCCTTATGTTCGAACATGGTGTTTGTGATGGACAAATTATGATGAGAACAGAAGTCCAACAACAGAACACTACTCGAGTTCAGATCAGAGAGGATGTTCCCCCCAGTCACACCCCTCCAGATCACACTGTTGTTACCCACGTGGGCATTGAAGTCCCCCAGCAGAATAAGGTGGTCCCCAGCTGGGGCACCTTCCAGCACCCCTGCTAAGGACTCCAAGAAAGACAGACACTATCAACTGTTGTTTGGTGAGTAGGCACAAACAACCATCAGAGCCTATCCCCCCACCCCCAATATATATTATAAAGAACTAAATCAAAAGACTCATTAATACTCTGAATCATAACTCAGGTGTTTATAATATAACAAGCATGCTAACATCCAGGAAATCACTCACTTCTTCACATCTGTCTAGCGGTAGTACTTACGTCCACTGTGAGAGATAGCCTTGGTACGTGATCCAGCCCTGATCATTGGTGCAAACTGTGTTTTTAACATCTGGACCCCAGGGCATGTAGGGGAAAACATCAAACAGGTCCTTCAGCTCCTCAGGCGACAAGGCACAGTCACGGTCCTGAGAGCCAAAGAAGAAGATAAATGATCTCAGTGGGGTTCAAAGAAAAACAGTGAACAGAAATGAGCTTTTTGTTCGTTGGAGCTGTGACATAGATTTGAACTGTGCTTGTTTCTACTTGAAACAACAAACATGACAAAGTGAAGTTTATATTTAGCATTAGAAACTAATCCCTACAACAGACAGAACTTAGCACAAGCTGTTACTTTCACTCTCAGACTTCCCTTTTTGACCCTGAGCTTATGCTCCTGTAAATCCCTCCTCCATGCCAACAGGTTAAAGCGCACCTCAGCTGGGGGGGGCAGTGTTGTTGGTTCGTATTTGTGGTGCTGAGCAGCTTTCTGTTGGTGTGCCTTCAGGGCAGAGACTAAAGACAGTAGACACACGGGGTTGTACCTTGTCATGTTTGTCAAAGACGCTCTGCAGGAAGAGGTAGGCGTTGTGATTGAGCTCAGTGGTGCAGTCTGGAGGAACTTTCAACCTGAACACAGGAACAAGGGCATCTCAAAAAAATTTAATATTGTGAAAAACTACTAATCTTTAGTCAGTGGTGTCAGAAAGTGAAACTTGTATATTATATAGAGATGGGAGTCTGTGACGAAGTGAAGACTCAAAACAGTCTGCTCCTCAGATAAATAATGTTATTAACTTACTTTTTATGTATGTGAATGTTTCTGTTCAGTGCCCTGAGACGACTTCTGTTGTGACTTGGAACTATATACTGTAAATAAACTGAATTGAATTCAATATAAATTCATTAAAGACAGAGTGAAATATCCCATGTCTTAATTTATTGTAATTTTGATTATTATAGCTTGCAAATAATGAAAAACCAAAATTTTGTGTCAAAAAAATTTAATATTGTGAAGAAATTCACCCTAATCAGCTGATTAACTCCTAGACATGAGCAAATGTTGCATTCCTCGAGTCCAGCCACTCCTGAACCAGAAACAACCTCAAGTGTCTTAGGAATCCAGCAGAGTGTGTTGAATCTTCACGTCGTCAGTCACCCATCCTGAGCAAGCACAAATGCAACAGTGGAAAGGAAAAACTCCCTTTTAACAGAAAGAAACCTCCAGCAGAACCAAATCAAGTATTAAAGTAAATTTCATGTAATTTGTAAATCAAGGTCCCAGAGTCTGGAGGAAGAGTGGAGAGGCCCAGAATCCACGTTGCTCCCCCCATTCATTTATTTGTTCATTTAAAAGAAACAAAAGAAAGGCCAAGACTCGGACTGCCCCCTCTTTGATACAACTGGGGGTGCTTGGCATCGCGCCCCTATCGCGCGGCCCCCTGGTGGGGTGTGCCCTTGCCTGCCGGCGCGCTTGGGGCCCTTGGTATCGGGGGCTGGGCGCTTGGGCGTGTGTCGGCTCGGCCTGGTGTCTGCCTGGTGGGGCTCGGGTCCTCTGGCCCTGTC